TTATCGAGACTCAAACCAGGCTTAACAAACTAGGCATGTTGAGTTCTAAAACCCTAAAATACCTGGGAATAGAGTTAGCAGGGTTACCCCTTGATGAGGTCGAAGAGATACCCAAGGTAGTTTGCCAAGGGACTATGTGACCCTTGTGTGTGATTGGTAGGCCTAAAGGGATGAGGGCCAAATCCTCATCACAACCGTCACACGGCATGTATATATGATAGTTGGATCGGTAAGTGAACACCATTGAGGGTCTTGCATGTAAATGTGTGAGAGATAGCCCCAATGCACCAATTGTGATGTGCATGCACGAGTCTGTGAGAGCTAAGCTTGTCCCTAGGAGGGCACCTGTAGTCCATAGACTAGGATTGTGTTCACATCACCTATTAGCTAGCTTTGGTACCCCAATCATAAACCCCTGTGATGGATTGTCGGTCATGGGAAATACTAGGTCAGTATGAGAAAGAGAGTGTGGGATATCATCTCTAGTAGATATAGAGTGCTTCAGTATTTTCTCATTTTTCTTAACGAAGTTGGATCCAATTCCCATCAAATTAATTTAGAAATAATTAACTTCATTATAAATGTTTTTAGAATATTAAAATATTTTTTAGAAGTCTCTGAATATTTTATTTCATCAAAATGGATTACTAAATAAGATTAAACTGCATTTTCAGGTATTTAATTATTCAGAAAGAGAATTACAATACGAGATGTTTTCTAAAAATCATTTTATTGTTTTTAAAATTATTAATACATATGGGGGCCCATTATTCTCCATGGGCCTCACCTATAAAGATCGTGTAGGAAGGTGCATCAAGTCCACTTGTGCCCCATGGGTGGCACGCCCCACTTCTAGCACCCTTCTTTTTATTTTGGATGGCATATGTGACCGGCCATGCAATCAATTGAAACAAAATTGGAAGGTATTGTAATAAAGCTAATTGATTTTTCAAAAGAACCATGTGTAGAGATTTTAATGAAAATAAAAGGCAAGTGTAATATGATTCCTCTACATTACATACTTGATGGATTAGGTTAACGAAGCTGAAGGATAAGATTCTAGCACCTTCCATAAGATCATGATGGCTAATCTATGGATTGTAAGGTTAAAATCTCTCACCCCACATATCTCTTTTGATCAGTGGTCTAGATCAAGTCTCATAATGATGGCTAAACCCTAGAAACCCTAAACCCTAATTGCAAGTCTATAAAAGATCTCTACAGGGTTTCTTTTCTACACACCACAAGTCACATCTCTCTCTCTCTCTC